ATGGCTCCTGTTAATGGGAGCAGCACAGCTGGCAGTGCCCCATCCCCTTCACCCAGCCACTCTGACGCCACCACAGGAAGTGTTTTGGATGGGGAGGACATGGACACAGCAGAGATTGCCCGACAGGTGAAAGAGCAGCTGATCAAGCACAACATTGGCCAGCGTGTGTTTGGCCATTATGTGTTGGGACTGTCCCAGGGTTCGGTCAGTGAGATCTTGGCCAGACCAAAGCCATGGAACAAGCTAACCATCCGGGGGAAGGAACCCTTCCACAAGATGAGGCAGTTCCTCGCCGATGAGCAGAACATCCTGGCACTTCGCAGCATCCAGGGACGGCAGAGAGGTTTGTTTGTGTATTTTAAAGTGTCTATGCGTGTGTGTGTGTGTGTGCGGGCACGTGTGTGTGTGTGTCTTATGTGTGTGTCCAGCCCTGCACAGAGCCACAGATTAGCTTATCAATATGGGGTAGCTTTTCATTTTTCTTTTCTCTTTCCTTACTCCCATCCTGTAACACACCTGTGTGTTTTGAGTGAGTTCCTAGTCACACACTGATCCCAAGAGCCTGTCCTAGCTATTGTGGTCAATACAGAAACCTTTCACACATCAATAGTATTGATTGGTGGGAACTAGGAGGAAGGCAGGGGTACTGTTAACCACGGGTAGATTCGATTAGTCTGGGCCTGCTTTTGTTCACGCATCAGGACTTTTCTGATTGAAGGTGGTCTCAGTAGTACAAAAAATACAGCAAAGTCTAACCACCTAGTCCGGGATGCAGTCTGTGTTTAATAAGAAGGTTGTCCTTAGTCTGTCCCTGATTAATATGTGCTGTTAAATAATGAATCCCTCACTAGCCTGTTTTTGTAGTAGTTTAATATTCCTGTCAGAGGTAGAGGTTACATTCCTACTGGGACTACAGATGGTAAAGATCAATGCAGTTATGGTATTATAATGCAGATTGGATGGAAGGATCTGCACATTCCATATATTTGCAGAGCATGATAGGGCACCATATAGTCTAGCTGTAAAAGGAAGAAAAAAACACAAGTGCTGTAACATAGTGTGTGGTATATTGTTTTTAACAGAGGGCTCAGGCCAGCCCCAGCTTAGCCGAGTGTTTCAGGATGTTCCGAAGCGGAGAGCCCTCTCCGATACAGCTTCACACACAGGTCTGTCCCCTTCAAATGCAGAGATTCTAGCACGTTCTGTCTGTGTGGCATGTTTGTGTCAGGGTGAACTGTATCTATGCTCTGTGCATAAGTGTTGGCATTAATTATTTGCAGCCAAGCATACAGATATAAGGTAACCACACAGTTGTAGTCAAAGGAAAAGCCAGCATGTGTATTTAGGGATTTTATTGGTAGATGTTATTCTGTGGGGAACATTTACTGTACAAACCTCCTGTAGCACGTGTGCATGTGTGAGCTCCCAAGAGGCCAGAGAAATGATGACAATCCCTCCATTGTAGTTGCCTTGTAGCTCAGTGGTTGGAATGTTGTTCTTTGTGCTGTGCTATGTTGTAATTATTTGATGTCCTTATTGGCTCTGATGTTGTTCTGTAGTTGGTTATCTCTGTTTTTTAACCTGACAGAATTTTTTTGTCTCCTCCCATTCCCTTGTCCTCTCCTTCCAGGTAACATTACCGCCCGCGTCCGTACCCCAGAGGCAGGTTCAGATGAGGCTATCAAGTCAATTCTGGAGCAGGCCAAAAGAGAGCTGCAGGTGCAGAAAGCCGGTGAGTTGTAGTTTTTGTTTTCTTCTTCAGGGGAGTTGAAACTTCGAAGATGGACTGTGGCTGTGTGTTTATCTGACTGTCTCATGACAGCCCTTTTCTCTTTCCTCAACAGATTTGTCTCATGCACATCCCTCATATGCAGGACTGAAAGGAGGGGGTGGGGGCGGAATAGGTGGTGGAGGGGGCAGCGGATCAGACGAGGCTATCCGCTCCATCCTAGAGCAAGCTCGCAGAGAGATGGAGGCCCAACAGGCTGCACTGGAGCCCATCCTCAAAGCCTCGTCTTCCTCCTCCTCAGCATCACTATCTCAGAGGGACCTCCTGAGCTCTTCGCTCACTGCTCCCCTCCCCCCTTACAACCCCCTGGCACTTTCTCTCAAGAAGCCTCCCGGCTCACTCTTGTCCTCACCCTCACCCTCATCCCCGTCTCCCATCCTGGACTTCAGCTCCAGCATAAAGAGAGAGGGCAGGGCTTCTTCAGGGATTGACATGTCTGTTGATGGAGCTCTCAGGCTGGGCCGGAGCTCTGAGGGTTCGGGCCGCTCTGGAAATTCTGGGGGAGTCGGATACTGGAGGGAGCAGTGGTGGAGCAACATGCATACAGACCCCCGCAGGACCACAGCCAGCCAGACAGTAGAGGAGAACCACAATCAGGATGACTCCAAAGAGGTGAGGGGGCAAAACCAAAGTGTGTGTGTGTGTGTGTGTGTGCGTGTGTGTGTGCTTTATCTGTTCTTTCTTTGTTTTAATTGTGTTTTTACTCGCATGTCTGAGCCATTTTCCTGGTGTGTTTTTCAGGGAGTACTGAGTGACGGCCTGTCCCGACACAAACCGTGGAACAAGTTGAACCAGAGGAGCAGAGACTCATACCTCCGCATGCAGCCGTGGCTCAATGGAGATCAGGGGCAAAACTCACACATCCAGCAATCTCAGAACCAAGGTATATATACACACACACACACACACACACACACACACACACACCAGCATGTAGAGTATATGGATCTGCACAGCCAGGCTCCTTGGGCTAGAGCGTTACTCCAAAAGCCTGATTAGAGCTAGTGGCTAGCTGTTACTGTCAGTCTGTCAATTCACCCTCCTCCTCCTCCTCCTCCTCCTCACCTCCCTCCCACCCACCGTTTCCCCCCTCCCCTCTCTTCCTTCTAGCATCCCCCCCATCCCCAGTGCTGTGGCAGTGTCAGCCAGCAAGCTGCTGGTTTGTCATGTCATAGACAAGTTAGTGCTGCAGTGCCAGATGGCAGCTCTGTGTGTGTGTGTGCGCGTGTGCATGTCCCTCTTTCTCTCTGGGGGTGTAAACAGCAGCTAATGTACACTGACAGCTCCTCATAACTGCTCTCTTCCAGCCTGCTGAGCTGCACAGCAGTACTACACAGACAGAGACAGGGAGATGAAGGAATAGGAGGATGAAGCCAAACAAATCTTCAAACTGAAAACTTAAGCACCTTTGCTGTTTAACAGGAATTAGATTAGTTGATGTGGTATGACTGAAGTCCCTCCCAAACCCA